ATCCCCCCCCCCCCCACACACACACACAGTGGTTGCCAGGGCTTGAGAGGGGCAGGGATGGATCAGCAGAGCACAGAGGGTTTTTAGGGCAGTGAAAATACTCCGTGTGACACCATAGTGATGGATACATGTCCTTACACTATTGTCCCAACCATAGGATGTACGCCCCCAGGAGTGACCCTGCGCCTTTGGGTGATGCTGCGTGGGTGCAGCCGATAGATTCTAATAAAGGTGCCGCCGTGTGCGGGATGTGGACAGCCGGCAGGCTGTGCGCGTGGGACAGGGGCATACGGGAAACCTCTGTCCTTTCCTTCAATTTTGCTGTGAACTTAAAATGGCTCTAAGATAAAATGGATTCATTAAAAACCCTATTACTCAACTCATTAGTGTATCCACTGATTCCTTCCCAGTGCCCTCATTCTTAGTGGAGTCTCCATTTCTCCTCTGCATCCCCTCTGTACACCCACAGTGCACGCGGCCATGTGCAGGGCGAGGACTGTATTTTGAGCCAGGTTTGTAAACTGCTTCCTGAAGGAGCACATTAAGGAATGAAAGGGAATTGCCTTTAGCCTCGGGCTTTATCCTTAAGGCAGGGAGCCAGGAGGGCTCTGAAAGGGGGAGGCCCCGGTCAGAGGTGCATTTATTTGCTTCCTTGGTAAGTACCCATCCGGCGGCTTTGCTGGAAACTGCCAGGCCTGTCTTTCCACATCACACAGGCTTCGGGAATGACTCTCCCAAGGCCCGGGGGCTGGTAAGTTACTACTGAGGTTGTAGATTCCGTGGACACCTTCGAGGGTCAGGTGGACACCTTGGAAGGTCAGGTGGAGTTATTTTTAAGAGCTATAGGTGAACGTGTGGCTGTCTGCAGGGAGAGACGGGCAGGTTCGGTGGCTAGAGGTTTCTCCGGCCTGTACTGTTCCAAAGAAACCTGCGCGACCTGCCTGCCTGTGGCTGCAGAAGCAAGGCCGTGGCTCCTTTAAAACTGTCCAGTCAGTGACCTTTGAAGGCGACATGAAAGTTCAGGGCTGCTGGAATCGGGCTCCCGTGGAGTCCCCCTTGGTCTCCAGCCGGCAGCGCCCGGCGCTCTCCTCTGACCCGGGAAGCCCGCAGGCGCTGCACAGACCGCACTTGAGGACAAGCGCTTGGGACGCGAAGGGCTGCGCTCAAGAAACCTCAAAACAGACGTAGCTGGTGGGGAAAACTATTAAAATTGTGGGCGGCAAAAATGAATGAAAATATTAAAAAGTAACTTAAAAAATGATGGGTGGCCTTTTCAGCACGTGGGGTGCTGGGGGTGATTTCTGTTTGATAGACGGTGCGAGGCCTGCCGCAGGTGGTTCCTTGACTTTTCACCTCTTGCTGCCCACCAGGTGGATGAGCTGGATGCTCGCGGGTCCCCGGCTGACGGGTGGGGTTCGCGCCGCGCAGCCTGGCGCGAGGTCCCAGGAGGAAGCCCAGGGAACCCCAAGGCTGCTCGGGAGTCGCCGCCCCCCTGGAGCGCAGGCGGCTGGAC